TCACCTATCCTCAGTTCGAAACACTATGCTCCCTCCGCCGCCACTCGGCCCCGACAGCTCAGCGAGATTATAATATGGAGTCCCGCCGCGAGCGAGACCTCTAAGGGGTGAAACAGTTCCTCACCCTGGCAGGCGTGGATCCTGACCCTCCATCCAGCATGGAACCCTTTCTCTTGGCGGACGTCGGGCCTGAAGTACCAGTCCCCCCGACTCACCCAGTCCCCCAGAAGACGCCCCTCCACGGACTGAAACCTCCCCTCTCCCACCAAACCCCGCTCCTCCCGCTACAGACATGGCCCACCAAACCTCGCTCCTCCTGCTACAGACATGGCCCACCAAACCCCGCTCCTCCTCCCGCTACAGACATGGCCCACCAAACCTCGCTCCTCCTCCTGCTACAGACATGGCCCACCAAACTCCGCTCCTCCCGCTACAGACCTGGCCCACCGAGGGAGCATTGGCAGGAAATACACGCCCGGCTGGCCACAGCACCCGCTATGTCCTTCAGGGGCAGGGGGCGCGGCTCCAACCGCCCGTGGAGCCATAGTGAGCTCGCCTACGCTTACATGCTGCTGGAGCGGGGGTTCCGTCCACGACAAGGGCTGTGAACCAGCGGATGCAAAACAATACAATTGAATAGAGCGAGGTGAGTGGGCGACACGTAACTGCCCTCTGCCTAAAACTCAAAGACATCCAGAAGAAGAAGTAATCAGTGTAATGAGCCCCCGCCACTAAGACCCTCCACCTCCATCGCTCCTACAGGGACCAGGGTGTTTCATGATGAATGTCAATTTCAAACTTGGGAATCCATGAAGGAAAAATGTGTCTAGCACGTGCAAACTTTAAAGCATTGTTGGAAATTAATGGACATTTTATATAAATGGCATTCAATGCAAAAATTGTCGTCATTCCTGTTTGAGAAGGGGATATGTCGGGGTCACCTCGCCGTGCTCAAAGTATTAAAACGCCATTTTCGAAAGAACAGCAGGCGTGGATAGTGTTACAGTTTGGAAGCTTTAAGAACGTCTCCCAATTGAGAAGAAAGTTTCGGCTTCACTTTACAGTTAACCTGAAACATCTACCCAGTTTTAACGCCTTTAAAAGGATCACTCAAAGGTTTATTGAAAGCAAAGGTCAGTTACGGCCGAAAGTTCCGACAGGGAATCGTCCTCCGAAACAGGATGTTGTCCAAAAGATTAAAGACTTCCGTCAACGCCACCAAAAGAATCAGAGGGCTGTATCCATTCGCATAATTGCGAATACCCTGAACCTCTCAGTTTCCACGGTTTGGCGCATCGCCAGAAACAGGGGTGCGGAGCGCGTATATTCGAATGCAGTATGAGCAGAGCATGGGTCCCGAAAAATTCCTCAGAAACTAGAGAAATTCTCGGACACACACGACGGCTACCATATGAATGCGGGCATTTATCTGAGGCGCATCGCGCCATTTCAATTTCGTTGCATTTCGTTGCGTACGATTTGTTGGTGACATGACCGAGTCCGCAGGCGTGCTACGAGGTTACAATGTGTTTCGGAGTTACTCTAGTCGGCCAGCGCTGCTCCAGAGTCGACATGCGTTTTGGAACGGTCTGTATCCAGGCTACGCTGTTTTCTCTGGGCATTATATGACTGTGAGTATGTCATTGTTCCTAATGTTATTGTAATAATAATGAAAAAGACTGTATGGAGTATATTTCTAGTCGGAGAAACATTTTCAAACTGTTATGCGGTCTCGCGTCACAAAAACCGTGCATGAGCTGCTTCGCAAAGTTGCACCTCTAACTTGTACGCTAAAGTGCGAAGTTCTAAGTCGTTAAGTTTAACCCTATTAGTGGCAGGCTCCTGGCTACCCCTATTAGTGGCAGGGGGGGGGCTGTTTACGACCCCCCTTGATATCTCGAGATCTAACGGGCCGATTTTCAAAATTCAAACGGCATTCGATTTCGCTCAACGAGATCTACATTTCTAAAAAAATAAAATTAAAAAATGTCAATAGGGGGGTAGAAGGGGGTAAAAACGGGCAAATTGCAGATACATTTTAGACTGTTTATCACGGCCAGGTTTCTGAACCAATCTTAACGCAACTTTTGCCGATCGATAGAGAATGAACCAGGAATTCACATAGATTTTAAAATATGCATTTTCAAGAATAATAGGCGGATACAGATCATTGAGATTGGGGGTACACAAAAAGTATAGTAAATAAGGTTTTTGTTGGTACTGTTTCTAAAAAGGGTGGCAATGGTCTTGTTATGTTACAATTTTCTTATGAGAGAACGACTAAAATTATATTGGTCATGCATAGGCGGTGTCAGGGCACCTATGTTGGGAGGTAAAAAATAACCCCCCTTTTTGGACGCCTGGATCCGCCTATTATAGCAAAAACGTGTCAAAAGAGGATGCACAATAACTTTGTATATGTTATCACATGATACCTTTCATTCGCTGTTCGTAAAACTGGTGCAGCATCGTGATCTTTGCCCAAATGACTCGCTTCACGAATAGGACCCCCCAATTCCCAGTGCTCTGGAGCCGCCCCTGGTAAAGTTATGAACTTGAAATTTTCAGGGAATGTGCCCAATTTAGTTTTAGGAAGTCAGAAAATTTCAGCATCGTAGCTTCAGCGGTTTCGGAGATATTCCCGAAAAACCTGAGGGGTGGATAAAAACAACCCCCCCTGCCACTAATAGGGTTAAGTTACGTATCTACTCCACGCCTAAGAGTAAAAAATCCCTTGTACGGTCTCTTCCCACGAAGACCGTAAATGAGGTGTTTGGGAAAAGTTGCACCTCTATGTAATATGTGGGTTCGATATACTGTGTGACGTTCCAAGAACTACATATTTGGGAAAAGTTGCACCTCCGGAGAGACGGACGGACGGACGGAGAGACGGATGGACGGACGAAGAGACTGGTGACGGACGGACGGAGAGAGTGACTGATGGACGGACGGATGGAGAAACGGACGGACGGATGGACGGACTGAGAGACGGAAGGGCGGGCGAACGGACGGAGAGACGGACGAGAGAGAGAGAGAGAGAGAGAGAGAGAGAGAGAGAGAGAGAGAGAGAGAGAGAGAGAAAAAAAAAGGGTGGTGAGAGAAAGGAGGATCAGATGAAGGAAAAGACTTAGAGATATGGATATTACTTGTCAGAGACTCGGGGAGGACGGGAAGGAGACTGATACCTATAGAGAGGAAAGATGAGTGAGCAAGGGGTTTGGGAGATAGGTAAGGAGACAGGGGAAAATGAGATTTTATTGCTCCGGTCCCAATAACACTTCCAAAATAAAATATAATTGGTCGTAATTATCGAATAAGAATCGGAAATTGTCAATTGAACGTCTGATTTGCTTACATCGATCCGCCCTATACCCTGTTTGACATGTTTGCACCAAAGCCAACTTGCAGGCTATACATCGAGCCAGTGGTATATACTATACAATAAATACATCTCTCCCGGTGGTATACCTGCATAGAGCCGAGACCTCCGGCTGTATTTTCCCACGATCAGCCGGATTGCAAAGCCGTGTATTTTTCGTCCGTTGCAGGCGGCCGGCGCAATCTCCGTGAAAGAAGCGCTCCAGTGACAAAAGCACGAGCAGATCGCCTAAATGCCGGTGGCCGCGAGAATTTCTCTAGTTTCTGAAGAATTTTTCGGGACCCATGCTCTACTCATACTGCATCCGAATATACGCGTGCGGAGCCGTGGAAATTACAGACGGTTCCGGCTGAGGAGAAAAAAATGGGCTCCGGCTCCGGGTAAAATGTCATGGCGGCTCCGGCTCCAAGTGCATCCTCTATACAATCAAATACGCGTGGAAGAAAAAAGACGAAGGGGTTGGTTCACGTTGCTTCTGTACCTAATCTGTATTTGCATAACAAGGCTATTTTGAATACCGATTGTTGCTGTTCGGTTCGATATCACGGCTCGCGGTTCACTCAATCGACACGCCCGCTGTCGGCTGGGGTTATATTCAGTCGTGCCAGGGAGAGGATTGTCGGGTCCTCTCCCTGGCGACACTCGTTGAACAACTGCTTCGGCTAGACGCGGCCGTCGGCCCAGGACGGTGACAAGTGGCCTACACATGGCCGAAGGCCTCACATGGCTCGGGCCGCCGAGGGCCGGCCGGCCGGAAGCGACGAGGAGAACTCACAGCACAGCCGACATTTTAATAAAAACGGGAAACTCGTGACCAATTTGAACGGAACACCGTTCAAAAAATGAAATGAATCGATTTAGAAACGGCATTTATTTGCAAAGTAGGGCACTGATGTGCCTTTTTCCTTTGCTGTTGGACTCAGAAAATTACGGAGAACTCAACCATATACAATTTTTACCGATTCCTTTCAATTTATCAAACTCTGATTTACCCCACTCTCCCCAAATCACTGGCGGATCCAGAGTTTTGGGAGGGGCAAACCATAAAAATTTAGCGTTTCTTTCCATGCACCGTCTATAGGCGTAATGTTAAAATTTTGCCGTTTGGGAGGGGCAAATGCCCTATTTGCCCTCCCCTGGATCCGCCACTACCCCTAATTATTAAATGTGTTGTGCTCTATCAAACTCCGTTGCAATAGAATTCAGCCTCCAGCCTGAATATCGCCATTCGCCAATAGTGAATACGGAAAACAGTGTGGATGCAGGATGGTGATTGGTGATAACTTATATAATGCATTGTCGCTAATGCGATGTTGTGCCCTCCGATGCGCCGTGACTATTCGTTGATCCAGTTTCAATTATCATTATTCCGATGATAATCACGTGACTGGTTATTTGTATAATAACATATTCCTGCTCCTCTAGAAATATTATGTGAACTCAATTGACCTTTTCTCTGCTCAATCTGCGCAATGCACATTGCACACTGCACAGGCAACAGGGCTGCTTAGGGACGCCTGGAGTTCCGAGCCGCAGCAGAAGTGCACACCTGTCCAACAGATGGCAGCACGTCCGCTGACCTCCAGGCTCCGTCCGGGAAGAGAAAGTGGCCAGGCGGCGCGCCGACCAGCTGGAGGGAGATCTGCGTTAGTCAGACCGGAGCGCCTGTGGTGGTGGTAGTGGGATCAGGCGAGCTGATGTCGCCTCTGGATCGCATTTGGACCGCCGTTGTGGTGCTATGCACCCTATCGACAGGTAGGTGCTACCTGGGAAACGGGCCATAAAGCTGTCGTTGTTACCTGCGCTCGGCTCAATGTCGAAGGCAATTCGAAGGCTGTGAGTGGAACGGGGTTGATGTGACAAATCGGGCTTTGGAGAGATGTTAATTATATATGAGTCACAGTGACGGACGGGATTCGTCCCAGCATGCCATTTCAAGTACATACGTCAAATATACCGAACCTATGCGTATCGAGGCATCAATTAGCTCATGGCAAAGGTGAGTCTTTCTCCTTGTTCGAACTTCGAATGCGTGTTGTGTGAATAAAATACATTTGTCGGATATTCATGTTATGTGAAACACGATGCCATATTTTGCTAACTTTAAGCTTCTTTCTGCTTTTCATGCGGTGAGTTACAATTCCATCCCAGTCGTTCCGATTTCTACAGATATCATCGCTTACCTCGGAATGACGACTCGGTTGAGCTTTGATCGATAAGTCATGTAGTTGTGTCTCCCAGTGGCGGATCCAGGATTTTCACTGGGGAGGGGCTGCAGGTCATAATTGGGCGCCACGCCCCGGATGGGCGCCATAGTCGCATCGTATTGGCGCTGAAATATTGGCGCCCAGTGGCCCTGACAAGAGGCGCCCAGGATCAGTATGTACAGTGACACCACACGATTGGAAATATCGGTGCGGAGCGTACTGAAACGACGTTATTCGACTGATTTTTGCATCCTAAGTCCTAGTATGCGGCACTCCGATGAGTTGCGAATTGAAAATTGGCGCCACTGCGCCTTCGGCGCAGTGGCGCCAGTTTTCCTTGGGTGGGGGCTGCCAGCCCCCGCAGCCCCCCCCCTGGATCCGCCACTGGTGTCTCCACCACATATTTCATATTCCTTGTGTCACGCTTACTTCTAGTAGGTAAGCGATTTCACCCCCATATTCCAGAGCGGACCCTTTGCACAGCGGACCGGGAAGTGCCCACCGCCGCCGCCCCGGAGGGGGGGGGGGGGGGGGGGTCGGCGGTGCGTCTCGGACGGCCCCACCCGTTTCCCCGCTGACCTTGCCTCAGTCCGGTATCAGAGCGGTCCAGGCACCAGTGCTGAACTGGGAGAGATCTCATGATGGCGATATTACCTAGTCGATGAGACTGCACGCACAACGCATAGTACTCTACCGGCAGCACCCAAACGCATAACTGGGGTAATCGCACTGGGCAACTACAGGCAGTCTAGAATACAGGCAAAATATTGTAATGTCAGCCACGGGTAAAAATGAACCCCTGAAAACCATATGAATTCGGAATTCCATCGTCAGCATTGCCCTAAATCAGGACAAGCCGGGGTGCCCGGAGGGCTCACCATCGTACCCATAGAGAGGATGCAGTTCGGCGCAAATGACCGGCTCGGGTCGAGCGGGCGAGTCGCCGGCAGCGGGCGAGCGGGCGGCGAGTCGTCGGCAGCGGTCAGCGGCAGAGGTGGAGCCGCGCTGGTAGGACCGGTCCGCGCCGTCGCTGGAAAGTTTGCTGCAAACGCGTGTAGGTTTTCACAGCGCCTAAGACTTCTTTTCTACTTTTGCTTTCGAAACGTTCCATTCAATCCGTTCCGTAGGTTGAAAGTCAATGTAGGCCTTGTAATGTAAATGCGTACAATACAGCCTCGTTCTTTCCCCGATTCCAAAACAGTCATATGAGTGTTAAACCCTCGCCCGTGGGGGGGGGGGAAAGAGCAAAATGGCCCCCCTGTGTTTTTTTCTTAATAGCAAGGAAACGGCGGCGCGCAGAGCCGCCAAATTTCAATACCTTCCCGGACATCAATTTGACATCTTCACACAAAATTTCAAGTCTAAGGTCACCTTAGGTCAGGAGATCTTAAGGTCAAACTGAGGTCATGTTCGAGAAAAATGAGCAAAAAACTTGAAATCTTGAAATACTCACAAAAGCTACAGTTAAAAGCAATTTCAAAGCTCTTTATACGGTCGTGTAGAAAAAAAGACAACGCAACAAAACTGCTATCTCGGATTTTCAAAATTTTGTGATTTAGAACCCCATAAATTAAAAAATGTTTTTTTTATAAAATGGCAAAAAAAAAATTATTTCGAATTTCGGAAAAACGGAATACATATGATAGTCCCTGCGCTCTTCTATCGACATACCAAATTTGAGATCGATATCTCCTTTTTTGGCCAAGTTATAGCGAAAAAACTTCAAATTGATGATGTCATTTTTTAATTCAATTGTTAGCAATTCTAGACCACGTAGCGCAAAACGAAGACCACCATTAGACTCCCCGTGACCAGCTGCATCGAATTGATACCCATTTTATGCAAAAAATATCGAGTTTAAAATTTGACCTAAGTTGACCTGGCCTTGTCCTGATCTTTACCAGAACAGAACCTTAACTGGCCCCAAAGGTTGCCTGACCCACATAATCGCATTTGTGATGTAAAGTGGACCATAAAACATGCATCACATATTTTCATATTGTGACCCTTGCAGTGACCTGACCTCTGTGACCAAACCTGGCATCAGTGACCTCAACTAGCAAGATATGTGTTTGAAGAACAATTCCCCATCGATGATTTTCAATGACTTGCATTTACTCGATTTTACAACACATTTCTTGAAATGCCTGTAAACGGTGAACATTCTACATTTGACCTGACCTGTGACGTCATCTGTTTGACCTAGGTCGTCACAAGGTACTTCCCCATTGGTTGAATAGCACCGTTGAATGCTGCTTGTCGCTATGTTGCGTGGTTCTCGAGATCTTACGAGGGGGGGCCCAAATGTCCCCCCCCCCAACGGGGCGCTTTGCTCGGCATACCCCAACGGGGCGCGGGTTAAAAAAAGGAGGTGACAGCGCCTCTGAAGGAGCTTCCGATCAGCGAAGCAGAGATGCGCTGTCGTAATGCTTCCTCCGAACAGCCCCGGCTAGGTGCTGAATCACTGTCCCCGTGTGGCAGGCGGTGCCGCCGCCGCCGTGGACGGTGTGACCGTCGAGGCGCCGTTCTCGTGGCGCGGTCTGCGCGGCACCGTGCGGCTGTCGCAGGCCAGCCCGGCGCACAACGTCACCATCACGGTGGATGTGACGCTGATGGAGGACGAGGCGGCCGGCAGCTACCGGCTGCGGGTCAGCGAGTTCCCCGCCGACTACACCAGGGAGGACTACTGCGACGACAGCGTCACCGGCAAACCGTGAGTGCGCCGGGAAGGGACAAGTTGCAGGGGGTTCAACGTTCGAAATGGGTCCGAATATATGCACTTTGTGCCATGACGTTGAAACGTTGTAAGTATTTCGAGATGCCAAATGCATAGCTGAGGGCAAATCGATTCGGCATGTCTTGTAGCGTGTAGTTACGAATGCGTACACGTTACACTGATGCAATGCAAACGAGATCATGTTGAAAACGTTCCCAGGTTTAACAAGCTGGAGGGATTGGAAGAGATCCAGTTGCCCTCCGATGGACCCATCACCATGGAAACGAACGAAATCAGTCTATTAAGCACTGACACCATCCTGGGTCGCAGCATCAAGCTGGAAGGCCCCAGGGTCGTCTGCTCTACAATACAGGTGTTGAACCATCAATATGTGAAACAAACCGTTCGCCGCTATGACATTGTGGCCGCGACTTCAGCGACTCATGACCCGTGTCTTTTCTTTTGTACAGTCCTCAATACCTGTTCTGTTGCTGCGCCCTGCAGCCAATATTATCATCCATCACCATGGAAACAAACGAAATCGAAATCGTGACCCAGTCAGCGGCCGTCCTGCTGCAACTGTTTCCCAGCCAGCGACTGTTCCGCTGTGTCTGCTCGGCTGTGACCGCTCCCCGCTGTCCGGCAGGCGCCCGACCTGGAGTACGACGTGGCCGAGGCGCGCTTCCAGTCGCCAGTGGCGGGCGCGGTGTTCATCCGCCAGTACCGGGTGAACGGCACGCGCTACACCAGCTTGCACGCGGACCTGGCGCACTCGGGCAGCAGCGTGCCCACCTCGTCCCAGCACGGCTGGAGCGTCATGGTCACTGACGTGCTCACCACTGCCGCCGGTACGGTGACGGAGGCGACCGCGAACCGCCTGCGACCAGCTCTCTTGAAACATGCTCAGTACTCATGACTGACCATGTCTACGTCAACTCTAGTTACATCGACAGTTGCTCGTAGTCATGTGCGAAGCATACATGTATTGGGGAATATTTTTTAAATAACCAGCCTCGCCTACAGGAACCATGCAAGCGTTTTGTAAGTCTGTGCGCAGTTTCTTTACTGGTATGTGCTACGTTAACCTTTTTTGTTTAATGTGTTGCGCAGACGAGAGCAGAGGCACGTGCAACTTCCTACAGCTGGTGTACGACCCGCACAGCGCCGACCCGGCCCAGTGCACCGAGGACACCCCGGAGCTCTGCAAGGCCGGCGACCTGCTCAGTCGGCTCGGCAAGATCAAGGTAGCCAGTCGGCGATCTCGGTTCACGCGCCAGTTCTGGACCTCTGACCGGCTGGAGCTGCCGCCGTGGCGCGGCTACCGCAGCGCCTACCTGGTGCTCTACGAGAAGGATTACCCGGACTCGATCCTGGCCTGCGCCAAGATCCGGCCCGTGCAGCGGCGCACCGCCAGCGCGTTCCTCTCGTACGACGGTGTGCACGGCGTGGTGGAGCTGAGCCAGCGCTCGCGGTTCGAGCCGACCCGGCTGCGGCTGAACGTGAGCGGCCTGGCCGGCCAGGCCGACACGTTCGGCGTGCACTCGCTGCCGGTGCCGCCGCGCGCCGTGCGTCGGACGGCGCCCTGCGAGCGCGTCGGCGCCGTCTTCAACCCGACAGAGGTGGACGCCGAGCTGACGGAGCCGGCCGGCGGCGCCACCGGCGACCGCTACCCGCTGGGAGACCTCAGCGGCAAGCACGGCCGGCTCACCGGGCTGGACAGCTTCGAGGCCGAGGTGTCCGACTTCAGCCTGCCGCTGTGGGGGCCGCGCTCGGTGGTCGGCCGCTCGCTGGTGATCACAGCGGCCGGCGGCGGCGAGGGCGGCGCCGGGGGCGCGCCGTGGGTGTGCGCCAACCTGCAGGACAGCCGGCCGATGGTGACGGCCGCCGCCGTGTTCCGGTTCCCGCTGGCCGGCCGCGTGCTGTTCCTGCAGCCTGAGGACGCACCCGAGGAGGACACCACCGTCCTCCTGGAGGGCCTGCTCTACAACGACGGCTCCATGAACGGTACCGGCGCGCACCGCTGGAACGTCAACGAACTGGTACCAGGCGCCGACTTCAGGAACTGGAGCGGCCGATGCCTCAGCGCTGGGCCCCGCTTTAACCCCTACCAGGTGGGTCGGGTGCATTTGGGTTAGGCCCCCATCCAGCTCTTACCAGGTGCGTGTCGAACACACGCTGGAATCCGTGACCCTGCTCGAATCCCTTGAGGAGCGCAAAACAGCGAACCACAAAACTGTCCGTCGATATCTGCTAAACGCCTGTCGAAAAAAAAAAACTGGAAAAAATGCAAGCACACTCGTCTGACCAAGCGTCTGACGGTCAAACGGGCGGGATACGATTGAACTGCTCTTCTTTTAAAACGAAAGTCAAGCTTAACACTCAAACATTGGGACATAGGTGCACAATGCACATGGCATACTGAATTGGAAGATTGTACCCTTGGCCCCTCTGTATGCCCTTGCACCTTATGTCATCTTAGGTCATGAAAAGTATCCAACAGTTTTTGGCAATAAATTTAAATATGTAGAGACATGCTAGAGCGATGCAAGCACCTCAGATCACATATGCGTTCAGCTCGATGGTACAAATTGACTGATTGTAGCATGCAAGGCCATCTATAGCAGGTACAGTCACTCCCCCGCCGACGAATCCGAGACAGATCCTGAGTGACGTCACCCCTGATGCTCGCAAGTGGTACTCCATTCCTTTGCTAAAGTGACTATAGCTTCATTTGAAGATTATCAATAGCACTTTACACATACCGCTCAACCATTGATGTCAATGGAAAGCCCAACCCATTTTCTAGCGACAAAGAGCAATATGCTAAGAAATGGCCGGCTTTGAAGATATAGACGATTTAAAAACCCTCTGCAGTAGCAGGAAAGCAACGTAAAGAGCGCATTGAACTTATTTTTTACTATGAATAAATATTTCTTCAGTACGTTTTTAGATAAGGTTTCGATTTAATTCACAACTTTATTAAAATGTTTTTTATTATTATTTGTAACTTGATTGGAAATTAATATTTTAAAAATGGCAGCTGTTGGCAAATGGCAAGTAGCTTGGAAGCGATTGTGAGTGTGACGCATCCTGCGCCATTGTTGTCTTTAGGCCCCCTAAGGATGTCATCAAAAGCGGAGTGACATGGGCCTGGCAGCCAGTAGCGGCGGAACATCTTCAATTAGGGGGGGGGGGTACCGCCAACTTTTGGTCCCATTCTTTCCATGCGAAGCCCATAGGGCTAATGTTAAAATGCCAAAATCAAAGGAGAGCACGGTGCCCCGGTGCCCTCCCCGTTCCGCCGCCTATGCTGACAGCATAGGCTTTTCCATGACTTTAGCCTCAGGTCCAATTTTGAAACTGACATTTTCAGGTCAAGTTATAGTTCATTCGACATCTCTCAACGAGAAACGCAATGCTGGTAAAAGGGAGCATAACAAGCTTGGTGAGAAAAGACATTACAGGAAAACGTGTCCCTCAAAAACGGAGTTTTGGCCCTCTTAAGCCGCTGACCCTAGGTGACATCTGAGAACTTTGTCCACATAAACTTTGGAAAGAATTCGAATTCGCTTTACAGAAGCGCTGTAGCTCTATTTCGAGTTTATGCGGCGCCGATTAGTGAAATTATAAAAACCAGGAAACATTTCTTGATAGCTCTTTGTTTGTGGACCTCCAGTGCCCTCATGACCTGATGGAAAATGACCCTTATAGTTCTGATAGATATTCAGCGATCTTTATCGCTTTTTACGCGTGTTTACAGATTCTCATTGTTGGATAACCTGATTTGGCCAAATACGCCCCCTCTCCCACCCCCACCATGGCGAAGTTGACCGGGACCCTCACCCGGGCCCAGGTTAAATTTTACCATCCAGGTCCCGTGATGGGTATCAGCCTAGACTAGCCTGCCCCCACCGGCCCCCACAAGCGAAAATCTGTGGCGCCGCCCCTGTTTTGACCACGAGTTTACTTCCTACACTCAGAAGACTACAAGAGTTCAAGGGGAACTCATACGTGGGAGATTTTCAAAAACTACTCGTAATTTCGCAGGCAACCACAAGTTTTTCCGCGTCATGTTCTCGAAAGAAGCCAGATGTGTGTCCCATCTGAGATGTGACTCTTCCTCTACCGGCAGGTGAACAGCGAGTCGCGCCTGTACTCGCGCTCGTGCAGCGCCGAGGAAATGACCAACTGTGAGATGGGCGACATGGTCAGCAAGCACGGCACACTGAATCTAGCGGCGCTGCGGGACAAACTCAACGAGTGAGATTTGTGATAACGTTTCGCTGCGCTGATGCTTTTGTATTTGTAGCTTTCTTTCTACATGATAAACCGTTGTGGCGGGCGGTGACTGTTAATTTTCATGACCACCACTGAATCAATGACTGGCTGTAGGTATAGTTGTGTCTGGCTGTATGACTTTGAACTGTAACTGGCCACAGGTGACGGTGGTCGGTAACTGTGACTGTTCACAGGACGCGGCGCCTGTGGACCGATACCAACCTGCCGCTCTCTGGCCCAAACTCGATCATCGGCCACAGTCTGGTCATTCACGACGACAACGGACCCAAGGCGCGCGGAGACCGGCTGGCCTGCGTCGAGTGAGTACTATTAAAAGGAGGGACCCTCTAACCTCCTAAAAAGTCAATGAATCGGCATTAAAGTGATGTGCCGTGGTTCAGAAACTGCAAAAAGAGGAATTTCTACCAAATTTCACCGAAAATATTCAGTTTTTTTTTCGATATTATGCTCGTATTTTTTGCGTATACTGTTCCTATGACGTCATTTGGAAGCAACATTTGGTATCTTAACCCTCGCCCGCACATGGGAAGGGGGGGTGTCACCTTTCCAGGTACTTTTTTCTGCTCTGCACTCAACATTTTCAAAGCTAGAAGCCTGATTTTTCGTATAGCTGCTAACACTATCGTAACACTATCCTTTCTCAGCGTCCACAGAAAATTTCAAGTTTCTGTGGTTTCTGCTTTCGGAGATATGACCTTGTTGTTTAGGTCATGTCATGACCCAAATGACCAGTCCAATACTCAGCATCTTGCGTTGGCTATGGGTCTTGTCGGCTTTTGATACCTTGATTTCGGTATGTTTTTGCTAGTCTTACCCAGAGTCTTACCTCCCACCTATCATGAAACATGTTATTCTACGATGTGCAGATGTCAGGGTCAGGGTCAAGGTCAAGTTGGGTCATTTAAAAACACTGCATTTTAGGCTTGCTGAATTTACTTTTCGTGAATTTATTTTTTGACTGCATTTTTGGTACAGAGGTCTATGGGACACACAAACTAATCGGTGCACACATCAGTATACACTAGAGATGTCAATCGGATACCTACCAACTTTTTGGTATACCGATACCAAACCGATACCAACTTGGTATTTGGTATTTCAAGGCGAACACATTTGGTATTTTGTTGGTTTTATGAATCCTCTAATGTAAAAGAGGCTGATAATTTGGTAAAAAGTTGGTATTTCCCTCATATTACCAAGTCGGTTCGGTTTCGGTATTTTTCCGTGGGTATTATTGGTATTTGGTTTGGTATCGGTATCACGATTTTCCGTAATTGACATCACTAGTATACACACAGACACACAGACATACAAACACTTATCATTGACCTTGACCTATCTTGTATGTATGTATGTATGTATTGACAATTAAAACACTCTCCGATACAATACCGGCTATGTCACTTGTGTTTATAAAAGGGAGGGAACATGTTCAAATCGACGCATGAAACAATCACGTCTCAATCATACAAAATAACTAGCCAAAATCACATAAAACTGTCCATCGCATAGATAGATCATGATACCTGTAAACATGACGCTATGTGGCGTTTAAAAGCGGATACGGAGATCAGGTGACAGAGAGTTGTAGAGACGGACTACATGAAACAGGAAGCGGCGCTTGCCTGCGTTAGTTCTCACGCGCGGGAGGGCCAGGGCCAGGGTATATTGAGTGAAGGGTAGGACGAACTTTGGTAGGAATTTCTAGTATAACTACTAGAAAACCTACTATATGTGGTCGGGACTAGCAAAAAGTTAGCTCAAACTAGAATATGGTAGCGCTTATGGTTGGCAGTCGTGACGCGCACGTGACATTCATTTCTTAAATTTCTTAAATAACAGGTTTTAGGGGTCGATTAGTGGGCAGATACATTCAATTAGCTATTAATAATTGAATATGCAAACATTCAAGAATCTACATCCTTCAATTCTAGCCAAAATCACGCGGCGCTCCCAGGATTCGAACTCACGACCCGTGGATCCGTAGCCCGATACGCTACCAACTGCGCTACCGAGGACCGCGCGCCGGCGTTCGGAGAGGCGGATCGCGGGTGCTGGCGTGCAGAGAAATCTTTACCCTGTACGCCGTAGAAGATCGGCTGGGTTTCGTGAAAAATGGTAGAGGAATTGTCGAAAGAAAATTCATTGATCTATTATTTGAGACTAAGAACCATTGATTCCTTAAAGGAAAAGGGCCACCTTTAACATGGGGATTGAAACTGAGATAGCCATCTTACAGCCCGTGTCCGAAAACCGATCTGTCTACCTCCTTACGGCCGATTTCGGCCTCCATTCGTAGTTATCGGCAATTTTAAAAGAAAATACGCCAGGAATGCGTCCTTATCCCAGGAATGCGTTCTTATCCGACAATACAGCCACCCGCGGCGAGGCTTTGGTTTTTTACCAATCAGCTCCAACCAGCTCAGCTTTAACCAATCAGCTTATCTGACACAATCCGACGAGTCTGTCTTCTGAACGCTGATTGGCTTGAGTGTGACGTCATCGCTATGCCATCATACAGTAGGTGCCGTAGAGAGTATCAACATAGTACCAATATGTTAAATAGTTTTAAATACTTTTTCGCGAATTGTGCACTTCTGGCACCAGTTTTAAAAAGAAAATGAAAAATAATAATGTCAAAATGAAAAACAAGGATATCTTCATATTTCATGAAGGTGGCCCTTTTCCTTTAAAAGGTTGACCGAGATATCGCTCGCCGAAAACAGGCCATTTAACATGTAAACCCTATGGGCTGGTAGGAAATGTACGCCGTGGAACAGCAGTGCTACCCAAGATTTTTTTTTTATAACGTTTATTATACACACCAATGATCACACGAACACACAGGCACTCTCTAAATGATTTAAAGTTATGACAAACATACAAATAAAAAAAAAACAGCATATTTCCTATTCGCCGCCCGGCCCGCCCGGGCAGGTCGGGCGGTGCACCCGCCACTACCGCGCCGGCCCCGGGGAGAGCTGAGGGTTTTCTCCCCGGCCGGGGAGGGCTGCGTGATGCCTCCCCGGTGCCTCGGGCGGGCCGTCGCCCCCATCCCGCACCGCCCCCGCCTCACCAGCCAGTGACAGCAGCGCGATAGAGTGCCGAGTTATCCGCAATAGCCACGTTTCCTCTTTCATCTAATATTAAACCCCACTTTTCACAATATTCGGCAATTTTGTTTTTCTTTTTTGCTACAATTTTTTCCACTTTTGCTTCCCTATTTATAATTTCCGTGACGCACGCGATTTTCGGCGTTCGCAATCTATCACCATTGCCCAGTTTACAATTGACTATGTACTGTTTTGTTAATAGTAGAATCAAGTTCACAAGTGGTGGTGCCGCGGGATTCCCAAGAATAACTGACTGATAGGTGTTAAAATTTCTAGGTAAGCGACATTTACTTCTCAGTTGAGAAATTACTTTTTCCCATATTATTTTTACGTCGGTACATCCATAAAAGAAGTGCTCAAAATCATCAACTTCAAAACATTTTAGGCACCGTGGACTACCGACCACTCCTCTTGCACATAGATACTTTCTCGTTGGAATGTACCTGTTAATTATCCGAAAATGTAGAGATTGAAGCCGCGTAGATTTTGTGCATTTATACGGTATTTCGAAGACTTTTCGCCAGGACTCCGGACACACTCCATAGTGCTCCCATCTGCTTACGGCGGCTGGCTTAGATATTCTATATTCTATGCTTTTATAGAAATGATTGCATTTGCATGTTTCGAGTTCGCAGTACTGTTCTTTTACCATTACAGACAACTTTTTTGGATCTGTCTTATTCCTTCCTTCATCTCTTTGACGTAGAATCCTTTTCCATGATCCAGGTATAGCACATGTTACACTCTGAATTGTAAATAAGTTTGACTTAACATTAGGATGTACTCTTTTGATTTCATCAAATGACAATATATTTCCGCTAGAATCAACTATATCGTCTACTAGTTTGATTCCTGCATCATACATGTCTTTAACAAACACCGGCCTCCTATCTACCGTTATCTCGTCATTGTGCCATAAACACTGGGAACGAACTTCTGTCGCATATATGATCGGGTTTTGCTGGTGAATGTTTTGAAAGTCTGATAAAATATCCTTGTAAAAGTCCGGAATTTTCAACCGTTGCAAAAACACATTACATTTTCTGATTCTGAGCACATCTTGGATATCGAACTGACCTACTCTGGATTGCAAAAGAACACGCCATGCCGATTCCCTACATTTCACTATTCGAGTAATCCACGTTAGCCTTAACCCTATTCCTGGCGGGCTCCGCCGGGACAAGAAACTGGCGGGGGGGGGGGGCCGATTCGGCCCCCCCCCCCTGAGATCTCGAGAACGAAGCAAGATAGCGACAAGCGGTAAACGGCATCGGATACGCACGGCCAAGATCTACAATTTTTACTAAGGTTATTTTCAGGTCAGGTCAAAGATGACGTCACAGGGGTCGAAAAAGTCAAAATGGCGGCACTAGATATGGAGAGTTTTTCTCGAATAACTTTCGAATTAGTCAAGATAGGAACAAACTAAGGGCATTATCGTGATCCTCTCGTCAATCCGCATCGAATGATATATATGTTGACCTCGAAAGGTCAAGGTCAAAGGTTGACCTCAGGTCACGTGACCTCGAGGTCATCATGTATATCATTCGATGCGTCTTGACGAGCTGAACACAATGCGACCATCCACGCGTCTGTATCTTGTTCCTGTACGGAGTTATTGGCCAAAAACCTTTGGTGACCTTTGATGACGTCACATGACCTCACAGCTGCTCAACAGCAAAACAGACCTCAAGGTAGTGAAGGTTGATCGTATATGAAGTCATGTATGGTATATGGGGCCATTCCGACCCGTTTTGGTGGTAAAAACAGGGAGTTGATTTTTCCCCCATTGACTTATAATGGGGAGGTCGCGAAATTGACCTGACCTTAGGTCACCGATATCAAAATTCCGAGATATACAAATTGCACATACTGGTACCCTAACTAAACCCTGAAGAGAAGAAATTGATCGGTCAAAAACTCTAGCTCTGGCGTGATTGCAAACTTTTCTGAGGTAGCGTCACCAAACCGCCTCTGGTGACCTGACCTGAGGTCAGATCAACTCAAAATTTTCAGACATGTTGCGTAGAAGCCTTTTAGGAAAAGTCAGAAAATTTGAGCTTCCTAGCTCAACGCGTTTGGGAGATATAACCAAAAAACCTCAGGGGGGGGGGCTCCTGAGGCCCCCCCCCGCCAGGAATAGGGTTAAGGCCGTATAAAACCGAGCAACATTTATTGCACCCAGTCCGC